GTCTAAGACATGACCTTCAATGTTTCTGTTCTGTATGGAGTTAGAGTAATCACTTGTAGGAATTTTAAAGTTAATATTGTATGAGTGCTCTCAAGAATGTGACAAACTGCCCCTATTTCTCAAATCCTTTTACAGCAGGCACAGTGTTAGTTATGCTGTTTGACCTGGGATAACCAAAGGGGAGCTGTTTTCTGTGACAAACTTTTCTTTGACAAGACCAAAAGCAAAATGCTGCTTTACTCTCTGGACTCTGAAATAGTGTCACAGTTTCTGCTAACAGCTAACAGTCAGCCTTGCATCTTTCCTCCTACCATTTGCTTTTTCTTCATGACATGCTGGTAAGGCTTAGATTAGAAGGTATTTCAGCAGGGGCAGGGCTGAAATGTGCCTGAATGAGGGACAGCAACGAGAAGTTCAGAACAAAAGGCATCTATTTAGCAGCTGAGGACGCATCTTCAAGGTGTGAGGCTGTCAAATGTCCAGTCAACTACACCAGGTGTGACACAATGAATCATCCCACAGATGAGTAATTTGCAGAATAGAAAAGGGATTTGGATTATTGGAGGAAGTCAGTGTGCCTGTGGCAGGTGAGTGATTGAAACACTGGGTATTTCTAGTAGGAATCTGAAATCCAAAACCACAGAGATGCTTCTGTATTCTGTTGGAGATCCCTTAGCAACACGATTCAGAGGTGTTCAGCATATTTGAGAGTGAATATATTAAGCACGCTAATGTAAAATTTAAGTTTAGAATTTTTCTTTTAGGTCCCCTAGCAATTACTTTATTATGCTAGCTTTTTTCAGAATTGATCAAGTTAAGCTGGTGTGCCAAATGTGTTTTTTTTTTTCCTCAGGAGCAGGTTGAATCAGTTCTCCAGTTCTGTGCAATGATGTCTGCATTAGCACTCTTACTTGTCATAGCAGCACTTCAGCAATTCAGCAGGTTGGCCTTATATGCCTTTTTATGAAGGATTTTTTTTAATATATTTTCTCCCTCTGTGTACCTAATGTGTAAACATGAGGGGCAAAAGATTGGTCAGTGTTTCCATAATGGCATGGATCTCTGTGGGCTCATGTATATTCACTATTATTAGACAGTTCATATGCCTTTAACCCATCACTTAATGGAGCACAAGTCAGTCAAGATCTGCATTTTGCTTGCTATTCAAGTTTTTAAACTCATGAGCTCCCTGCCTAATGACAGGAATATTTATCCAGGTTAATTGATAAAATCTCCTCAACATAAAGTGCTCTAGGAAACAATTTCAGAACACTTACATGTTGTATTAACATCTCATTACTTTATTCAACAACCCCAGAGCAAGTGGGGATGTAGGATGAATGATGTGTGTTTCCTAATGGCATTTTCTCTAGAAAAAAAAAGCTCATCTCTTTTAAGATATCTGTATGTTCTTTTTCTTAAGATCCAAGTGTCGTTAAGATCTTTTCAGCCTTAACTAACAAAACATGAATTCAAACAAAGCAGTTGCTAGAGTTTGAATACTGAATGGTTTGATTGCTTGCTGTATATTACAGTGAATTTTAATAGAAAATAAGAAAAAAAGAAAAATCAGCAGAATTGCCATAAAGTCATAAGCAATATGTAAACGGGAATAGAACTAAATTTCTTGAATAAATGATTCATTACAAGCTAGTATTCCAAGATTTTTTCCCACCTTTGCACTTACTTTTTTTTTTTTTTGCCTAAGGACAGCTTTCTATGAATTTACATCATGATAAATGTGTCTTTAAAGCAGTGAAGTAGAGATAAAATAGATGGGTAGAATTTGCTGTGGAATGTCACACACTGTAAAAAACTCCAGTACCTCAGGTTAAATTGTTGTACAGATTTAGTACAAAAAAGATTTAGTACAGTTTATTCCTGTTATCTGTAAAATATTTATGCAGCTGATTTCCCCCCTATATTAATAAGTGTTTCAGGCCAGGTAATTTCAAATCATCTCAGTATTAATTTTTATTGTCAGCAGACTGAAAGCAAACCCTTGTACTTTACTGCTCTGGTGGGAGAAGGAAGACTAATTGATGTTATTGTAAATGGAAATAAAGCTAAATATTTCTCCTCCACTACTGAATTGAATGAAATTAGGGCAGAGGAGGCTGTTTGTCAATAGCAAGTTATGATGAAAACCAATTAGAACAAGTCCTGTATCATAAATAGGAATGCAGTATCACCTTTTCAAGCTATGGACAAATCTCTGGAATTTAGGAGGATATGTCTGTCCAATATGTTTGTTTATATAATGTAATAATAATTAATAAACTGCTAATGTTAAATAAACATGTATGTGTCTTTAAAACAAGTATTTTAAGTGTTTAATTCTCATTAACAAATACCTAATTCTGCTCTTTTAGACAAAAAAGCGCTGTCAATTTTTTTCTTGTTTTTCTTAAACAATGAGGAAGTGGCTTTCTGTTTAGTTGCCTTACTCATCTTCCTTCTCTAACATAATTCTATTTTATAGTTACTTCCATTTTACAAATTCCTTCCCCATGTTCCATCTCTAAACAAAAGAAAAAATGGACTTGACACTTCTCTATGACAAACAGCTGGAACAGCTGGGAAAAAAAATCTAACTAATTTCTGTCTATCATGTATACATTATGTTTGCTAATATTTTTATACATAAATACATTTTGCTTAGGTTGCCTCCTATGTCATGCCCACAGTCACTCACTTTACTGGCATTTTAATGTGAGCCAAATGTTCCTGCCAGGTATGGGAACAAAAGCTCCTCAGGGGAAGGTTGTTGTGTTGATGGGAGATTACCAGAAAAACCCAGCTGTTCTAAGCAGTGGTTTTGATATCATTACTAGTTTTATCTACTATATCAATAATAAGCACACAAGATTGGTTTTAATTAAAATTAAATTCTAATCGCAACAGGGATTAACTGACCTACCTGTCTGCTCCTGCTGAAATTCAATATTTAGATACCATTTTGTTATATGCAGCATTTCCTGTTTACGTCCTACTTTATGCTCTGATGAGCAAACCCTTCTGAGGTCTGAGGTTGCCATCCAGACATAAATACAGGCACCCTGCCCTGGCACCACAGAGCTGCTCACAGCAGGGCTGGCTCAGAAGTCCCTCAGGACAGTGGCAGGTCCTGACTCTGGAGGACTTCTCACAACACAGTGGCTCTGTCTCTGCCCTCTTTTGCTGCCTGACTGAAAGCAGACCATCTTACCTGGATTTATCTCTGTTTTTCCAGGATCTGTTCATGTGAGTACTCCTTAAGCAAGAGATGGTGGTTTTAATAGTCCACTACAGAGTTAATATTGCTCTGTATTTAAATTTTTTTTCATTACAAGATCAGTTATACTGCCCATGTTTCAAGCATTAAAAATTTTCCTATTTTAGTTGTTACTTTTCTAAGTTGGTTTTTTTTGGGTTTTTTTTAATGTGTGTGTATGTTTTGGTTTTTTTTGTGGTTTTTTTTTTTTTTTTTTTTTTTTTGTTGTTTTTTGACCTGGGCTACTTTCTGTTCCAAACACTATCTCCTCAGTTTTTATTAGGAAGAAAAACAAGTATTCATGTTCTGTTCACCTTCTCTGTTCTAATTATTTTTATCGTCATATCTCTGTATGTGTCCTTTTTAAAAAACATATTTTCTTAGCCCATTAAGTTACCTTTCTAAATTTTATGTGCCTTTCTATGTCTTTTCCTCTTCTTAATTTTCTTTAAATCATGTCCTCCACCAGCCTATGATTTTTTTTTTCCATTTCTCATTCCATTTTTAATTCTAAGCTATTCCTAAGTAATAAATACCATGTGTTTACTCTCTGTGAAATTATTGGAAGAGTGGACAAATGAAGGTGTCTGACTTCCAAAATACTTTATTAGCTGCTTCTCCTGCATCCATTTCCATGTCTCCTTAATAGTCACCTGTGTTGTGAAAGCCCAGCACTTCCAAAGGAGTACAAGATTTGCTCTCCACCCATTTGCAGTAGATGCTTATTGATCCCCAAAAATATCAAAATAACAGTTAAAGCTGGGAAAGTACCTTACTATTTATCATGTTCTTTAAATAGACTAGCTGTTCTAAAAACACAATCATAAATCAATGAAGAGTTGCTGTGTTTTGTTGTAAGTCTTCACTGAATAATTTCAGTGAGAGATTTTCACACTGAATGTCATTCACCAGGTTGGTAAGACAAATCACTTCATATTAGTATTAAATACATTTAAAAAGTTGATTTTTTTTACACCTTTTCTGAATGAACAAATATATTCCCCTTCCTTCAGTCCCTGTCTCCTTCAGAAATTGTATGGAAAAAGGAAGGAAACAACAAGTAAAGTTTTTTTTCCCCCACAGTATCTGGTTTATTTCTGCAAATAATTGATGCAAATGAATTAAAATGAGTATTGATCTGGGGACAAATCTAGCCCTAGAAAACTTCAGTGTTTGCTGCAAGCTTCATGAGGAAAAAAGGCTGTTAAAAGTTGTTGCTTGTTTCACTTGTAATAGTATCAAGTGTAAAACCAGCAGACTTGATGATTATAGGATGCATATTCAACTCCAAGGTGAAAAGAAGGTTGTCTGGCTTGTTTTAAGATTCAAGCAAGTACTACATAAAATAACAAGCTTCAAAATTAAGAAATTTGATCCATTTTATGTAGCTGAAGTATCTGATCTATTTGTTCAATGACGCTGCAGCCCCAGAGGTACCAGACCTCTTAAGCCTCACAAAACTGCTGCTGTCCAGGAAGAGAAACAGAGAACGATACAGAGCTGGGAGGGGGCAGAGAGAGATTTTTATTGGAAGCTGTTAAAGTGGTTGCTATGAGACCTTCTCCAGCTAACACAGGCACAGCAGTGTGTGAGGCTGTTAAATCACAGCTCTTGCATTATACCTTCCTTTTCTGCCTTTTTTTTTTTTCCCCCCCCTAACACAGCTTTTATAGTTGTTTAAGATCAGAGAAAACACCTGCCAGTTGCTTTTTCTTCTGTTTCAGTCCCTTCTGCTGCTTCGTGCAAGATGGAGCTAGAAAATGCAATGATCAGCTCCTCGAGCAGTTCTTCATCAGGCTCCAGAGAGTACAAGGTGGTGATGCTGGGAGCAGGGGGAGTTGGCAAAAGCGGTAAGTTTCAGCAACAATATTTTGGGAGAGAAGGGGTGAATTGAGAGCGTAAAGTTCACCGGAAAAGGACATCGTTTAATGAGGGGTTTCTTTCCTCTTTCTCTTGCACATGGCTTGGGTAAAAGACTACAGTTCGTGACTGGGGCAATGAGTCAGCTTAATTTGTTACAGACTGAAGCGCTGCAAGGCTTTTTAATTGGTTATTTGTGTAGGGCTGACCTTGGGTGTGCTGTGAGTGAGGAGGGAGCAGCCAGGCTGCTGCTGTGAGTTCAGCAGCAAGTGCCCGTGTCACTCTCCTGCTCGGTGAGGGCTGGTGGTTTGCTGGACAGTGTGGATGTAACTTGTTGGCCTGAGGGTCCTTGTGCTCAGGCAGAAATCAAACTAACTGCAAAGTCAGCTGTACAGTGCAGAGTGTGTGGGATGCCTGCAGTGGCTCTGTTTTCTCCCCCTTTTTTTTTTTTTTTTCCCCCTTTTTTTTTTTTTTTTTTTTTTTTTTTTTAATAATTTATTTATTTTTTATTTTGTAGTGCCATTGTGGCTCAGCTGAGTTTAGTCTCCTCTCTGTTCTGGACAGGTACAGCATGCCTGTAGTACAGTGTAGTCTCACTACAGGCTATGAAGCAGATTTGCAGCATATTTTAATATCCCTGTCTACAGCTGGCAAGATATGCTAGCGTCTGACAATGATATCTCTTCAGACGAGTCATTATTTTCCCTGGACAGTGTTTTCTTTTTCGCAGATATTATCAGCTTTGATTTATTCTCGCTGAAACCAGCATTCTCTGTTCTTACAAAGACTTTGCTGAACATGCAGAGTTTGTCTCAGAAGTCAGTATATTGAGTTGGCCACACAACAAGAATTTGATTACGTTTTCTGGAAATTCAAAAGAACAACAGAAAGAGAAACAAGATTACAAAAAAGCAGGATAATGTGGTATAATGCATTCCAGCTAGATTCCAAGGAATTTTCAGGATAAATAGCTGTGACACTAAACTGTAACAACTGTGTGTATCAAACAAGTTTTATTTATATTCAAGCAATACGATTAAGTATTGCAAAAAGTTAAAAACTGTGAGTAAACATAATTTTCTTTCCGTATCCATAATCTTTGTGGTTTTGTTGTATTTGGCTTCAACTTCAGTGGCACATCTTTCAGCTAAAGCTATTTCCCATCAGTATTACTTAACCAAGCAAGCAGTTCTCATACAGATGTTGCTATATAATCACCATATAAAATGGGAAAGAACAAAATATTGGTAATCTCAGGGTGCATTCTGCAAATTCATGTTATCTTTTCCATAGAAAAGAAGGTATCTAAGATGTGCCAGCTCGAACTTTCAGTAAAATAGCTTTTTTTTTTTTCATTATTTATGCATCTTTTAGTTTCTTTTTCTTTTTTTTTTTTTTCCCTGAGTGTGTCCAAAAGATGGCAGCAATTTCCCCCACCCCCAAACATATGTTTGTAGGAATAATGCAATTTTGAAAACTTGTTCACCACAAAGTTTTACAAACTGCATTCATAGCATGAGTGAATTACAACAACCAAACTTTACATGTACGTGGAGGAATTTCTGAGTTTACATTTATTATTAGATAAGAGTTGAAGTCACAAATTGAGTTAATTCAAATTTCTGTGTTCAGAAAATGTTAGCTGTTAATTTGGAGAAGTAAGCCTTTAAATCTGTGGATTGAACAAGATATGATACATCTCCAAAGCTGAGAAACACACGAAAAACAAGTAGAATTGTGCAATCTAAATAAACTAAGATGGGATTAAGTGGGAATTTAGGAAATTCTATAGTATGAAAACTTTCTCTTGTTATCATGATAGTGAAACTCCTCATTGAAAAAAAAATACCCCAGCAACTAAATATTATTAAGAGTTCATAAGAAAGGAGGTTGGCAGTTCAACATTTACTGGCTCTGAACTTCTGATGTGCCGTGGACCTGAAATATTTCAGTAGAATGCTGAAAGATAGTCCAATTGATAGAATTCAGAGAGAGATAAAAAGTAAAAATAGATGTCATTCTATAAATCATTAATTCATTCTGACTGTTACATAAACAGGATTAATTTACACTGGATTAAAAACAGAAAAAGGCCTTAATGACTACTTTCATTGTACAAGATGAGCTCTGCTTTCTCCTAGTGACCTAGATTCAATGCGTCCAGGAAAATATGAATTTATCCATAAAAGTGAATCAGAGTAGAATAAGGATGAAAGAAAAAAAAAAAAAAAAGTTCAGCTTCCAATTTTGATTTTGAGAAATCAGTGATATGTGGTTTGATATATTGATAACATCCTGCCTTCTTTTTCCTGTCTTTTCCCTCTTTCTTTGCTTGTAGTCAAGGTAAAAACAGTATCAGCTGGGGTTAAATTGCTGAGTGGGAAACCTCTTTTGGATAAAAGCCTTTCCATCCCTCAATTCATTCAAATATTAAATAATTCAGGTTTGGAATGAATTTTCCAGAGGTACGAAGCTGCAAAAACGTTAGATTTCTTTTTACCCTGGATGTAGTTCACTTCCAGATATCCCCTGGGCATTTTGGTCTTGGGGTTCCAACTTTCCCCTTCTCTCTACCTGTGACACTTCTGCATGGGATAGAATGAGGAGGGGACCAAAAATGTTTGTTATTTTGGCATTGGATTAGTCAGGCTTGTCTCTTCACTTTTCTGCTCAAAGATGGCAGACAGTCCAGGAGGACAGCCAGCATCCTTTTATTTGTCCTATTCAGTGCGGTGTAAATTTCATAGGAATTGGTAAAGTTGAACTCTGTATCCCAGTCTGACGCCCATCACATGCAGAGTACTAATGTGTAAACTGCAAATGGTCTGAGAATTGTTACTTAAGGGTTCTCACGGTTCAAAATCAATTCTGGAAAACTAATACTAATTAAAAAAAAAAAAAAAATCTGACATTACTTTATAGGAGGAAAAAAAACCCACCACCTCAAACCCCAGCTCTGGAAGAAACAGGTAATAGTTGTGTCTAATGAAAATGTACAAAGCTAGCTGTAAATTTTTTATAGGGGTTGATTTCTGTACTGTAATTATGGAGTATAGATTCCCTAGAATGAGTTATCCCTTCTAAGACTTATGAAAACAGAATTTTTGTATCATATTTTCAATCTATGGACAAATCTCTGGAATTGAGGAGGATATGTCTGTCCAATATGTTTATTTATATAATGTAATAATAATTAATAAACTGTTCTTCTCTGCTCTGATGACAAATATCAGGCCACCTCAGTACCACTGAAACCTACTTGAAGTTACCTGGTGTAAGCTCAAAGCCTAAGAACCTTAGTTATTCTGAAACCCATTTTGCTCACAAATACCTTTAGAGATCAGTAAACAAAGTGCTCTCATGGTCCTTGCCTGATGCAGATCACACCTGTGGGGTTAGCTCTGTTTTTCAGTGTTACAAATAAAAAACATGCACAAAAGAGCCTTTCAGTCCCATTGCTGCCTTATATTTAGCAGACCAGTTCCACTGATAACCATACTTAACTGCAGCACATTCTGCAAAACATTAGTGATGATTAACCCAGCGCTTGCAAAGTGACTGCTAAAAAGAACAAATTGATGTTCCTGTGCAACTGAATAAAATAAAAAACCTCCCTCTGATGAAAAATTATTACCTAAGCAATCTTCAAACAATGATCAGATTGCACCTTTATGTGCATCTTCTTGGCTGAATAAAAATATTGTATTAGTGTTTTCTTGGGTTTTTGTTTGATTATTTTTTTCCTAACCCTGGTTAACGATGATTTATTTAAGGTTGAATATGATCTGCAGTTATTCCAGGCAAATAAAATTACATGTTTATGCATAGCATAGGTATATCATAGGTGTAAAGTGAATTTCTATTTAGCTGTCTTATGGAAGATCATTTCTCAGACAGATTGCCAGATGATCTGCTGCTACCATACAAAATTTGAAGATATTTTTAAAAAATTGCCTAAAGACTTTTGTTAAGCTAATATATTTCCTGTTTGACTGTATGTTGAAAAGTAGTTAGGAATGTATTTTCAGCCTTCAATCTTAAAAAGAATAAAAAAAAGTGGAAGAGAAGAAATAAAGAAAAGATTCTCTCAAGGATATTGGAGGAATAGTATGAGGAAATGTATTCTCAGACTGGGCTGTCCAAAGGAGGTATTTCTACCCATTGATTTCCTTTATTTTTGTTTTTTTGTGTTTTGTTTAGTTCGTTTTTTCCAGCGTGGCATAAAGGCTGTGTTTCTACTGATGCAGGTGACTCATCCAATTAATTTCAAGATCATGTGTACACAATGACTTCCAAAATGTGTGAAAACAATTATGTTCTCTGTGATGTGAGAACTTCAGTATGAGGAATTAGATTAAATCTGCAATTTTCTTTCATTTATGTGCTCAACTGCCTTTTTTTTTTTTTTTCTGGAGCAGTTTTACCTCTTATTCTGCCTTGATAAAGCAAATTATGTGCTTATTATTTTCAAGCATGTCCTCATAACAAGAGTCCCCAGTAAATAGAGCAGCATGGAGTGTTTGCTGGAGAGCTGGCCCACTGCAGCTGTTTGCAAACTCCCTGGAGACAAATTAATGTATGATCCAGGTTATGCTGAAAAGGATGAAGGGCAAAGGAAGAGATTCCACTGGCATTAAAAGAGCCGAGCTTGAAAAGCAAGACTTGGGCCTGCTGATGCTGTTCTTACCCCATCACTGGGCTTGGTGCCACAGAGCAACCTCCAGACACTGTTTGGTGGGGGTTTTTTTGTGTTTTGGTTTTTTTTTTTTGCGGGAGTTGGTTTTCATTCAGTTTCTTATTTTCCCCAGGAATATTCTCAGGTACAGCTGTGCTTCCCTAAATGCCTGGTAAATGAATCAAAGGAAAAAGGGTCTGGCCTTCTCTCATGTCCTGAGGCAGGCCAATGACCAGGATGAAGGTTTTGGATTTAGTTACTGCACAGTATTAGTCAAGATGAAAAAAGTTCCCTTTCAACGTTTGGGCATGCTGT